TGCATACGATAACGTTTTGGTAGACTAAAATCTTACCTGTTAAATAATGATAGTGTTAAATTTTACTGGTAAACACTTACTGGATAAGTATTTGGTAAACAACCCCTTAATCGAACATGATTTTTGTCCTTTTAATTTAACAGTATCACGAGATCCGGTTGTACGAAAAGTATAGATATGGACCATTTCTAGAAGGGGTTTTCTAAACTCACCCCCTCCTACCAATTTAAACCCCACACACAAATACTAATGGACAAAAAAACAACTAAATGACAAAATTCAAATATTTTCATTTTTAACTTTTTTATATTTTAACTTTTAACTCTAACCTTTTTATATTTTAACTTTTAACCATTTACTTTTTTAACATGTTTTATATTATTATTAATTAATTAAATATTAATAATACATATTATTAATTAAATATTAATAATACATATTTCAAATATAAATTAAATTTATTAATTAAAACTTTGATTTTTCATGTTAAATCAACATATTCACGAGTAAGAGTACGCTCTATATATTTTTCATATGCATTGAATCTATGTTGATACGGGACAATCCATGTACTTGCATCTTTAAAACGATAACATATCCAATGGTGCGTAAGTGTGGGCATTGGATATTCTCCATTTAATATCACCTTTATGTAATGGTTACCATTAACATGAACTATTGCAATTGCCACATGTTGAGATGAAGATGGAGGTTGTGTCTTAAACGGTAAGTATGTCACACTGCCTGCCATATTGAGAACATGCAGTATGACATTGAACCTTGAAGACGTTAGAATGCCCATTTCAGGCATAACAATCCAATGCGCAACTGGTGCAAAGACGCCCTTTTGGAAAAAAAATTTAGCGATTCGTGAATGCGTAAGCACTCATCGCCAATCATATAGGAGTAATATTGTCCATACTCAGTTAGTTCAATCATTAACTTTTTGCAGATATTGTCTCATTCGTGTTCATGACCACCCAGACAAGTAGATATCGCTCGAAATCGACAATTTCCATCGCCTAATACATCTTGTATTTGTATGACGTATGGATGAAATAAACTCGGGATTTGATCAAGATACGGATGTCGGGTGGTGGGTTGTTTTATTTTATTTTTGTAAGCTCCGCCGTGTTCACACATAAACACAACTTTATAAACATTCTCATTTGGCTTTGCCTTTGATCTTTTCGTAACAACAACACACCCAACTGAACGCCCCACATTGTGCACCCACTCAATTATTTCTTCCCGAGAATTGAACATCTGGGAAAAAAATTATAACTTTCATTTGTACAAGTAAGTATTAATAAACCTAAATATCAATTAACATAA